CCAAACCCCAAACCAATCCTGCAGGCACACACAGACACGGTCCCACAGGCACCACAGCACTGCCCAGCCACACACACACCTCATCTGTACTGCAGAGCCCAAAACTTTCCACTGGAATTTGTACTTTAGGCAGAGCTATTTCTGAGAGCAAACCTGCTCCCACAATACCTGCAGGCACCATTTGTTCTGCCTGAGAGGGAGCTGCAATATTCCTGCTTCAAACCCCTTCAAAATCCATCAATTCCACAATCTGCTCAGGGCCTGTCCCACAGAAACAGTGTCACATCTCACTGCAGCAGAAGCAGATGGCTAAAAGAAAATGGTAAACATATTTCTTTAAGAAACCTATTTGTCATTTCTCCAGGGCATCACAGAGCCTCTGAACAGCACTGCAGAACTTCAGTCCACAATTACAAATTAAACCGCTCAGGCCGATGCTGGCTGTGCCAATGAATACCCTGCAATTGCAGGACACTGGAGCTAGGCTGTCCCTCAGGTCTTATTAAAAACAGTCCTGTAAAAAAACCTCCGTGGGAACAAGTGATATGCATGGGATTCCCTAAACCTGAGGGTCACAAAGCAGAGCTGTTCCCTTTCCAGAACCATTTCTGGTCTTTTTTATGTTGCTCCATTCTGCTGCTCCTTTGGTTTCCCTCACAACTTCATCACCTCATTTTTGCAGTAACACTACTGGGGTAAAGAAAGGAAACTACAAAATTCTTACAATAGCAGCAGATGAAAAATAACACCCTTGTGTCATGGCAACAGAACAGCAGGAATGAGGCTGTTCTGACCTTATCTGCCAGAGTTTCACATCTCCTAAACATTAGCAAGTCTTTAATCACACCCCTCACTCAGTTTTTCCACTGTTCTAACCCTGCCTTTCTCGTGGGACAGGGAGTACAAAGCAATTGCTTCAGTCTGCTGAACTGTTAAGCTAAGAGATCAGCAGGAAAATAATCCATAGGGCATCAGCAATTCCTGGCTGTGTGTGCTCGTGCAGGTCCATTAACTCACTGCATCTGCTCTGCTAACACCAAGCAGGGTCACTACAGAGGCAGAGGAACTGAATCTCCTCAGTTTCCCAGGAATGAGACAGGTTCAAACTCTCATCTGTCAGAATTAATCTTATTTTCAGTCATGTTAGCACCTGCAGTGCTGGGGAGAGCAGAGGCTGCACCTCTGAGGGTAAACTCAGGGAAAATTTCCTTTTCTCTGCCCAGAACAAGCTGTGGGAGGGATAACAACGTTCTCTTCCACTGCTCTGTTCAGCACTCATTAGCCAAGACTGATCTGCAATTTTCGCAGCATTTCAAGCCCCAGACCTTGCACCCACCACACACAGGGGCAGATTCATGTCAGCAGGACAAGTGCCACAGATTTCCATGAACGATTTGTATTCATTAAATGAGGCTCCAACACCAACAGCTTCCCTGCAACACCTCGGAGACATTTCTCTCATCATCCATACTCACTGATTCAAAAAGAGCTGAATTCCAGCTTTTGCTAGCAAGTAAGTGACACGGATTAAATCACATTTTCAGGGGCTCAGCAGCACTTATTCCCTCAAAACATCACCTGCCAAATAGATGCAAATAAGTTGATGCTTGGGGAAAGTTTCCTGAGTGTATTGACAAAGAAAATCAGCAGGATGGTGGCAAGGCAGGCAAGAGCCCTCGAGCTGGATGTTGTGTTTGCTGTGACACAACTGGTATATCTGCTCCAATATATCAGCAACAAGCTGAAGGGTGCACCCAAAAAATCCAAAGGAAACACAGATGGAGAAACAGGGAGGCATTCCTGTCACAGAACTCAGGTGGAGTCTCCCTGACTCCCAGGAGATGAGGGATGTGGCACTGCTCACTGTGACACGGTCTGCTCTGTGAGGGGAGAAAAAGTATTACAGACATTGATTTTGTTTGTTTTTCTTCTAACCAGAAGAAGAGGTGTAACTCAGCTTCACCAGTCTGTGTTCACACAGAATGTGGTGCTCACACATGGAATTCTCTGAGATCCAGATTGGTACTGTGCTCCAGTTGCACCAGAACAACCCTTCAGACCAGGAGGAAAGGACTCCTTCTCCAGGGAAGGCTTGACACCCACTCTCCCCAGAACTGTGTCAACAAACCCACACCATAAAGCAGCCCCTCCTTTCTGGGTAATTTATTAACACAGTTCAAGCCAAGCCAGTATTTTCAGCCCATGGCAGCATGAAAAATTACATCAGCTCCCACCTGGCAGACCCGTGTGTTTCATCAGAGGATGGTGAGGGCTCAGAGCTGCAGCCAACATGAGGTCATGGTCCCCCAGCTGTGGTTGGGAAATGCTGTGTGGGGTGATGCAAACAGGTGCTGCATGCCCAGCTCTGGGGGAGGCTCCTGCACACACAATCTGAGAGAAACACGGCAGCCAGGGAGGAGCACAGACCATGGACTGGTTACATGTGGCTAACACAGACCCGGTGGGCACCCAGTGCCACAAGGGGGAATTTGTGAATCCTGTCATTAAAGATCATCTTCTTCTGCACCCTCAGGGCTCCTTAACAAGCTTATTCCTTAAATCACATGCACAGTGAACAGCAGTAAAGGGCTCCCTGGCCACCATGGCTGGGCAGGACTTCCAACTGTGGCTGTCCTTGTTTGGGAACCACTTCAGGCAGTGCTGGAAGCATGGGAAGAGCCCTGATACCTGGAGAGAGCTGCAGAGTCTCACAGGACACCCAAGAGGGTTTGGGCAGCAGCACCGGAGCGCAGAGCTGATACTCTGAGCTCCAAACCTGCTTAGGGATCAGAAAGAATACAGGCATCCAAAAACAGGCTAGTCAGGGCGCAGCTCAGTTTTCAGCCTGCAGACAACAAACTGTCCAACACAGAGAAGGGAGAGTCTGCAGAGCAGGATGAGAATTTCGAAAGCAGCAAGGCAAACAGGAGGTGTTTGCAAGCAGCAAACAGGACAGCTGGAACCCAGCCGGCCGTCCCGGCAGGGGAGGGACGCACGGGCTGTGCACGCTCGTACAGGAACGGCGCGATCCCGACACGGGGCTGCTCCTCCAGGATTTTCCTCATAGCACCGAGGAAAGCGCTTTGGCCAAAGCCCCCTCGCACCAGGGGGAAACAAAACGCGTAAAGCCGGAGCCTTTGCCGTCCCCGGGGTAATCCCTGCGCCGGGACCGCCGCACACCGCCCGTGCCCCAGAGCCGCCCCGGCCATCAGCACCGCTGCCCGGAGCCCCCGCGCGGTCGGCAGCGAGGGGCTCCATCCGCACCGCCCCGGCACACCCGCCACTCGAGCGAGCCCGGCCGCTCCCTCAGGCTGCGGGCCGCTCCCGGCGCTCGCCCGCCATGGGGGCCGCGGCCGGCCACAACCGGCGCGGCTCCCGCCCCGGACGCGTGGGCGCCGCCGGCAGAGAGGCCGTGCGAGGCGCCGGCGCTGCAGCCGCCCCGGCACTCACCTGGGCCCCGCTCCCGCCCCGCTCCGCTGCCGCTCCGGCCCCGCTCGCGCCGCCGCCGCCGCCTTTTGTTCGCGGAGCGCGGCCTCCCCGGCCCATCGGGCTACGGCCGCCGCCGCCGCCCATTGGCCAACGCCGCTACCACGTGCGCGTTGCCTGAGCGCCCGCCGCGCAGCCATTGGCCGCCGCCGGTGGGGTGCGGCCGCGTAGCCTTGTGGGAGTCGTAGTTCCGGCACCATCGCCACGCCCTCGGCGGAGACCGCGGCCGTGACCCCCCACGCCGGGCCCGCCGCCGCTGACGTCACCGGCCACGATGACGTCAACAGGCCCACCGGCCAGCGGTACCGGCGGCGGGAGGTGCCGAGAAACCTCCCACGGGCGTGCTGTGCCCGGCGGTACCCACGGGGCAGCGGCGGCATTGCCAGAGCCCGGTCACCGGTGCCTCCCGCAGCACCGGGAGCGTGCTGCCTGTGCGCCGCTCCGTTTGCTCACAGCCTGTCGGGACAGCCCCACGGCTCCGCCGCTGCCTGGGAACCCCCACCCCACGCTCGCTTTTCCCCGTGACTAAGGGCTGAGGGAGCACCGGGCGCGCCTTGTCCCGGTGCGGCGGCAGTGTCACCGGGCTGGGCACACACTGCCACAGCCCTCACGAACACAGCGTTGCTGGGGGCGGCGTTCCACACCCGGCGGTGCCGGTGGAGGGGGGGAATCTCCCGGCAAAGCAGCTCCCGAGCGCTTCATCTGCCTGAAATCGCCGGCCCGGTTCCCCGGGGACGGGGCGTGTCAGCCCGGCCGCCCACTCCCGAGTGTCTCCCCACCCTGGCGTGACCCCCAGCCCGCCTCCCGCCCCAGCGGGGCCGGCCAGCGCCGCTGGGCCGGGGCCAAGCCCCGGGCAGCGCCCCGCGGTGACGTTAAATGTCGCCGGTACCGAGCGGGACGGGCGCCGCCCGCCTCCCCCCGGCCTGGTCTGAGTCACTTGGCAGGGACAAAGTGTTTCAAGCGCAATCTTGGCGGAGAGTCCGGACCAGCGCCAAAATAAAGTCAGGGCCGGAGTGCCGATGGGAGTGAACCCGCAGCGTTCGCCGTTTACCCGGCCAGGATCGCAGCCCTGAGCGGCGAATCCGGTACCGGGGCCAGCGGCGGGCACCGAGCCTCCCTGTCCCACAGCATTCCCGAGTACCGAATAACCGGCTGCAGGGCGGTGTAACCGACGTGCAGCGCTGCCCTCGTGTTGCCCCTGCGGAACGCACGGGCCAGCGCCCGCCGGGCCAGAGGAACCGGCTCTGCCCGGTGTTCCGCCGCCGCCGTGGCACCGGCCGCGCTCCCGCCCCTCCCGGCCGCGGAACGCGCGTGGAAGCGCAGAACCCCACGGGCACGGAGCCGGGCCGGGTCAGAGCACAGCGAGCACCGGAGCGCGGCCGGGGCCGCCCGGCACACCGGCGCCGCACGTGGGCAGCGGCGGGGCGCGCCCCGTCACTTCCGGGGCGGGGCAGCCCACCGGAAGCGGGCGTTACCCGGTAACCGTTGCTTGGCAACGGCGCCGCGGCGCAGCCATGGCGGACGATGACCTGCCCGTCGTCTCCTTCGGGAGCCTCATGACCGAGGGGACAACCCTGAGCCGGCGCGGCCAGCACGACAAGGCTCTGAGCTGCTTCAATGACGTGAGGGCGCCGCAGTCCGGGGCCACCGAGATGCGCACGGCGGGAGGGGCCTCGGGGGGGGCCGCGGCGGCGGGACCCGGTTCGGTTCAGGCGGGGACCCGCGGCAAGAGGGGGGGACACGGAGGGACGTGTCTTCAAAACTGTTCAGTAAAATCCTTTAGTTTTCTCCTCATCCGTCATCAAAATCCACGTGGGAACTGTGGCATCACCCGCACGTTGATCCCACGGGGACTCCCGGGACGAGAACCTTGACTCCATGTTTCAGAAGGCTGATTTATTACATTATGATATATATTATATTAAAATGCTGTATTCAAACTATACTAAAAGAATGGAGAGAAAAGGGTTTATCAGAAGGCTGGAAAGAACAAGAATGGAATGATAACAAAGGCTCCTGACTCCCAGAGAGTCCGAGCCAGCTGAGTGTGATTGGCTATTAATTAAAAACACCAATCACAGATGCACCTGCTTCATTCCACAGCAGCAGATAGTTAATTGTTTACATTTCTTTTCTGAGGCTCCTCAGCTGGAATAGGAGAAAAATCCTAGCAAAGGATTTTTCATAAAATACCGTAGCTACACCTGTGTGTTTGTGGTGTTGAGCCAGCACTGGTGACGTGTCCATGTCTGCGGTTCCAGGCGCTGAAGCTGAGAGCAGGAGACAAGCACTGCCTTATCACCCGCTCCAGGTGTTTTCTGAAGCTTGGAGACACAGAAAACTCCTTGAAAGATGCTGAAGCCTCGCTCGAAATTGACAATACGTTCCATGAGGTAACCAGCAGGAGGGAGGTGATCTGTGAGACCCTGCAGGCTCTGAGGCAGAGCTCTGAGGAAACTCCAAACCCTCCTGAGATTTCTGCTGCTCTCAGAGCTGTTGGGGTGCTCAGGCACCTCCACATCTGGGGTTTAATGTATGCAAACTGTGACAGCTCTGGGCTCTCACACGTGCCTGACAGGATTTACTTGAGATCCATCAAAATTTCCCTCATTTTATGAATTTCTTCCCCCAAATGTCATTTTAGGGGCTTTGCCAGAAAGCAGAGACCCTGTATGCCATGGGGGATTTTGAGTTTGCACTGGTGACAGGAGTTACTTGAGATCCATCAAAATTTCCCTCATTTTATGAATTTCTTCTCCCAAATGTTATTTTAGGGGCTTTACCAGAAAGCAGAGGCCCTGTATGCCATGGGGGACTTTGAGTTTGCTCTGGTGTTTTACCACCGAGGCCGAAGGCTCCGCCCTGACCTGCACAAGTTCCAGCTGGGCATCAACAAGGCTGAGGAGGCCATTATCAACTGCATTGGGAGTAAGAAGTGTCACTTTCTGGCTCCCATGGGCCTGGACAAGGCTGTTCAGGGTACAGCTGATGGCAAATCAGCTCTGCAAGTGACCCAGGAGCCCCACAGCAGAGCCTCCCTGCTTCTGGGCTCTTGTTCTTTGTGGCAGATGAATCCAGAAGCACCAGGAAGCAGCACAAAGAGCCAACCCCTCTCCTTTTTTTTTTCTTTTGTTCTTTCTTTCTCCCCTGAATGCTGATCATACACAGTGCCTGATCCCTTTAGTTCTGTAGGTAAATCCTGAGGCTCCATTTTCCAAAATCATCGTGGAAACTTTCCAGAGGATACAGACCAGAGCAGCTCATCTAATCCGTGACCTGCTCGTGGCCTCCCACATGAGGGGAGCTGACAAGGAAGTTGGAGACACTTTTTACAAACACCTGGAGTGCCAGGACAAGGGGGAATGGCTTCCCACTGCCAGAGGGCAGGGTTGCATGGGATCTTGGGGAGAAGTTCTTCCCTGTGAGGGTGGGGAGGCCCTGGCACAGGTTGCCCAGAGAAGCTTTGGCTGCCCCACCCCTGGAAGTGTCCAAGGCCAGGTTGGATGAGGCCTGGAGCACCCTGGGGTAGTGGAAGGTGTCCCTGCCCTTGGGAGGTGCAATTCCAGGGGATGGAATGAGCTCTCAAGTCCCTTCCAACCTAAACCATTCTGGGATTCCATTATTCTGTGATCTACCTCCAGCCCTAATGACAGAATCCATTTTGAGACCTTTATCCCTGTATTCAAAGCTTGGAATGCAATGTGCCATGCTACCTCAGACTGGCCTCCTGAAATCCTGACTCTCCTCCAAATTTCATTGCAAAAGAGCAGTGAAACTGTTGACTCTTGTAACGAGCTCTGCTTTCACCATTCCTGGCTCAGATCACTGAGCAGGTCCTGGAGAGACAGGAAAGGCCAAGGACCTCGTGGGGTTTAAAGCAAACAGAAAACTCATCCCTTTTCACTTAGTTTGTCTCTCAGCCCTGCCAGCAGGCAGGGACAGGACGTGTCCCAGTGTGGGCACAGGCACACCTCACCTGGGGCTGCCACCTCTGCCATGTGAGTGTAACACGTGTGCAGGGCTCCTCTGGGGCTGCCAAACCTGTGGGGTGGGTTGGAGCCTGTCCCTGCCCAGCTCCTGGCACACCCCACTCACACCCTACACACATTCCCAGGTAGGCCAGGGCCGCCCTCTCCCAAAATTTCAAAACTGCAGCCCTCCCCCAGTGCCAGGGTTTGACAGGTGCCAGTGGCACCAGAGCCTGCAGCGCTTTCAGATGGGAGAGTTGTTTAAAAAAACAGGGAAGGTTTCCAGATCTGGCTTGCTCTCCTCCATTCCTGCTGCTTCCTGAGCTTAGCACAATGCTCAGATATCATCACAGCTCCAGCTGAAATCTTCCCAGCTCAATATCCTGAGCCAAGAGCTCTAACCACCTTTGGACCCCCTGGGCTGCAGGCACAAAAATGTATTTAAAAAAATAGAAAACTGATATTTACCTAAGCATAACTAAACTAATATAACTACTATTCAACTGATAAATAACTAAAAATATTTTCAGTCACTCAATAGCTGTGAGATGCAGGGAAGCATGGAAACACGTGGATGTTTGAACATTTGGGAAATGCACACACATTAACAGGGCACATCCCAAGCTGCTTCCCTGGGTGGATGGGAACACCTGCCCCTGTGAGCCCCCTGTGTTTGTGCTGCTGAAGGGAATTCTGCAGCAGCCTTGGCAGCTCTGTCCTTCCCTCAGACCAAACAAAGAGCTGTTCCTCACTCTTCCTTCCCAGGGTGCAGACAGATGGTGGTAAACACAATGGGCCTTTTGCCCTAATCAATGCCCAAACCTTTAAAATACCTTTCCTTCCATTTTGTGTTCCAGCTGTGATCCCCCAGAAGAACCTGCATCCTTCTCCTTCAGTTTCCATGCAGGATGTGCCCTATCTGTAGGAATATTGCAACAGTGAATGCAATATTCACCCCTGATGCTGTATGAATTGAAATCCCAAGAGGAGCTGGTGGCATTCTCTGCTCCCAGAACACACCAACACCCCTTATTCCATGGGAAAGATGAGAAAAGTGGTTGAAACGGAACATTTTGGGCTTGGCACCTTTATGGGCATTTCACTGACAGCAGCCTGCATGGCTGCTGTGCAGCACTAACACAGATCCTCTGTGTCTGCAGATCCATCCTCGGTGAAGCTGGAGACCAAGGAGGAGCTGTGCTTTGTGAGCAGGCAGGCAGAGGTACAGCACAGGGCTCTGGCTGGAGAAGCTTCTGGAGTTGCTGTAACGCTGAAATGGGCACCAGAGGAGTGACAGTCCCCTCAGGGATGTGGCTGTGGCAGCAGTGGGCCTGCTGAAGGGAGCTTTAAAACACACTGGCCTGTCATGGGGGTGTTTGTCACCTGCTTCTAATGCAGGTCTGGCTCAAGCCACCCAGAATTTAAAGGGGGAGGCAGAAGGGCAGGAAGAGCCTCCATGCAGGAACAAAACCTGGAATTTCTCCTCCAGCCCATGTCTGGGGGTGTTGCCAGCCACCCATCTAATGAGTAACAGCCCAGGGGTCAAAGAGGGTACAGTGAGCTCCAATATTGACTTTGGGTTTACCTGATGTTTAAGGGTCACAGCTTTGATAATGGACACTTTCTTTATTGCTTCACTTTTGGGTGATCCATTGCAGTAGTGTTGCTCCTCTGAGAGGCCAGAACTAGTTCTTACTCTTTCTGTAACACCCTTGTGGTCCCCAGGGAGCTCAGTTGGCTGCAGAATTTCAGTTGCTCATGGCCAAAGCTGGTGAGACACTTTTTGCTTTTATTTAAAAAATAAGTTGTGTTAAATGGAGTATAAACAGAATTCTGCTCATTCCAGTGTTCCCCACTGATGTCCCCCACCTCCTTTTGTTTTTTTCTAGCTCCAGAGCAAAAGTAACAAGCAAAAACAGCAAAACAAACCAAAGGACCAAAAGGATCAAAAACAGACGAAGAAGCAGAGTCCAAAAACAGAGCAACAGCTTCTGGGGCAGCTTTATGCTGACAAGGCATATCTGGAGAAGTTGCTCAAGGATGAAGGTGTTTCTCCTTCTCAGCAGATTCTATTTTTCTTTCATCCCTTTTTTATTCTTCTTTATTTCTTTTCTTCTTTTAAATCCCTTGACTCTTACTTATACCAGAGCTCACAGTGGGGGGGACACAGGCAGGTGTCTGCTCATGGAGCTGTGACTCCTCTGTGGGTTTGTTATAAATGCTGTTAAGACCAAGATGTAGGAATTGGAGAAGTAGCTTATTTTAGAAAAAGGCACAAAGAGGATGCTCCTTTAATCATATTTGTAGGGAACTTTTCACCCAGAAATAGAGAAGTGATTAAGGTTTGGTTTGCTCACAGGTTTTACAGTGTTGCCAGCACTAATTACACAGTGAGCAGTCTGGTTTGAAGGCAGGTAAAAGCCCTCTCAGTTTCCATCTGCCTGATCCACAGCACTGTTCAAAGTGCCCTGTCAATACAGATGTGCCATGCAGATGTTCTGTCCCAGAGCACAGGTGCTCAGCACAGCTGGCCCCACTTACTGGGCCCCTTTTTGGCTCTGATCAGCAGAGAAGGCAGCAGATATGAGGCTGGAACACCAGCTCAGCTCACTGAACCACATGGGCAGCAGAGTTTATTGTATTTGCAAGGTGCCCTGATGAAGGAAGGAATGATGAATCTGACTCCATGTTCTCAGAAGGCTAATTTATTATTTTATGGTATTATATTAAAGAATGCTATACTATACTAAAGAATACAGAAAGGATACTTATACAATGCTAGAAAGATAATAATGAAAACTCGTGACTCTTTCCAGAGTCACAGCTTGGCACTGATTGGCCAAAGAGTGAAAACAACTCACACCAGAGACTAATGAAACAATCACCTGTGGGTGAACAATCTCCAAACACATTCCAGACAAGCAAAACACAGGAGAATTAAGTGAGATAATAATTGTTTCCCTTTTTCTCTGAGGGCTTCTCAGCTTCCCAGGAGAAAAATCCTGATTGAAGGGAATTTTTCAGAAAATGTGAATGCCACAGAGTTTCTTGTTAGCTCCCCCATCACCTCAGCTCTGAGGAGCAGGGGACACTTCCATATCCAGGACTCTCTGTGTCAGAACAGAAAAACATTCCAAATCAATTCCCCACTGAGCTGCAGCTCAGATCTGCTGATTCTCACCTGGGTTCTACCTTATCTTATTCCCAGACTTGATGCAGAGCAGCACAAGGCAGGGGGTCAAAGTCATGGACCTGGTTTTGGGTGGCATCTCCTACCTGAACCAGCGGCGGGACTTCTGGCAGCAGCAGAAGCCGATGTACGCGCGGCTGTACGAGCGCAAGGTCCTGCGGCAGGGCCGCGCGCGCGACAAGAAACAGAAACCGCCCGACATCGCCAGAGCCATCGCAAAGGAGGTGGAGGACATTGAGCTGAGTAGGTTCCTGGCTGGAAGCTGAGTGCTTCCCACTGTTGTGGGGAGGTCTGTTCCTGAGCTTTGGCTGAGGGTTAGCCGCTTCACCAGGTCTCAGTTCCCGAGTAGCAGAATCTCAAGATGGTTTGGGTTGGAAGGGACCTTGAAGTTCATCCTGTTCCCCCCTCCATGGGTAGGGACACCTTCCACTGTCCCAGGTTGCTCCAAGCCCCATCCAGCCTGGTCTGGAACACCTTCAGGGATGGGGAATTCACAGCTTCTCCATGTCTCTGTGTCACACCCCAGTGTCAAACTCTGCTCCCTGTCCCCAGTGCTGGCCAGAGGTTCCGCTGAGGAAAGCTGCAGGAAAGCTGAGCGTCTGCTGAAAAAGATACAAGCGTGGTCAGAGGATGAAGTTCCCAACAAGAATGAGCTGATTGGGAACCTCCACAGCCACATTGGGGATGCACAGTTGGCAATGGGGCAGATGGAGGCAGCTTTGCACAGCCATAAGATGGATCTGGATTGTGCCAGGCAGAAGTAAGTTCTGAGAAGTTCAGGTGGGTGGAGAAAGGGGAAAATGCCTCTCTGGGGGCGTTTTAGCATTAGGTAAAGGAATTCTCACCTGGGAGGTTTAAAAGGGTTACACATTCAGCTCTGCACAAGTATTAGGGTCTGTGGTAACTTTTTATCTTCACTATTTCAAAATAAGGAACCTGAAGCAGATTTTTAAGGACCCACAGCACAGGGCACATCAAAACCTCTTCTGTAGCAAAGCAAAAGAACACAAGTCCCAGTTTCAGCACTTTAATCTTGAGCAGGTACTTTCTTCTCAGGAAGATCAGGGTTGAAATTGCTCCAGTTTTCCGCTACATTTTGTCTTAAACTTCTTTTCATAGAGACCATTAAGCATGGCTTGAAATAAAGGTCCCTTCCAGGTGCACTTAGCTGTCTGCACCAGACACATCCCACAGCTCTTCCAGCTGAATAAAATGAAGCAAAACGTAGTCTTAGATGTAGCAAATCATATCAGAAATCATGGAACAGTGCCTTGAAGTGATTTAGAACTTTTTTGGCAGTAGTGCTCTGAGCTTTTCAAATGTCACTGAGTGGTGGTTTCTCATTTTCAAAAATCCTTTTGGAAGTTGGTTTAGGAAAAGGCTGCCTCTCTCCTGGTGGTCGCACTCCCCGAGCAGCCCGGGTAAAGGCAGGAATTAGCAGGAGAGTGGGGGAGAGATGCCGGCTTTGGGACCCCGCTCACCCGGGGTGCGGTGGAGGACCGGCGGTGACGGGCGGGCTGCGCTCTCTGGCGGCTGCCGCTGGAGACGCCGCTAATGACTCGTTAATTACTCGCGTTAATGACCCCGTGATGGGGATTTGAGCTGGGTGATCCCTACGGTCCCTTCCCACCCAAACCGCTCTGTGATTCCATGACTCCCATGGCATTTATCTGCTCCTCGCACAGGCTTTTCCATCTCTAAGGTAAGGGTAGGCAAAGCTGCTTCTGAAGATGAGAACGAGGATAATTAAGAAAAAAATTAAAACCCACAGGGCTTTATTGCAGAAGGAGCTGCCTGTAGCATGGGGCAAAGCTCGGTCCAAGCACAGGATCAGGGCTGGTGTCAGGAGCCTGCAGACACCTTTTTGTGTCTTTGCTTTGAAAAACAGAAATCATCCATTAGTTGTTCCCACAAAGGGAAACAGAGGCAAAGAAAAGGGAAAGACTTTCCCAAGGGCTGCCAGATTTGCACAAAAATTAATAATAATCAAAGGCAAAGTGAAACCATTTCCCCTGTGTCTCATGGGGTCAGCTGCCAGAGCTGTAGATAAAATGAAAAATCAAACTTGATTTCATGACTTTCAGCCTGACCTGTGCCCTTTACTTCCTAACAATTCTCTGAGGGCATGGGGAGCACCAAGGGGACCATGAAGAAACGCAGAGTGAGTGAGGAACAGGAGGATGTCAGTGCCACAATCCCTTTGTCTCCCTGTCTCAGCACTCTGACAGACGCCGTGTCCCGGGCCCTGGACAACATCGGCCACGTGTACGCCCGAACTGGCAAGTTCCAGCAGGCCATCAACACGTATGTACAGCCCAGCAGCAGAGGCATCAGGGGTTGGAGTGACCCAGGCTGTGGTTTTTCAGTTGTGTGTTCTCACTGCAGCCAGGCCTGGGGAAATTTTCACACCTGAACCCTTTGCTATCAAATCAGTGGTTGAGTTGTAACTGTACCCAGTGAGGGTTGGTAAAGGTTTGTCTGTCTTACTCTGCTCGAAGCTGGGAGGAGAAGATTCCACTGGCCCAGTCCAGCCTGGAGAAGGCCTGGCTGTTCCACGAAATTGGGCGGTGCTACCTCGAGCTGGATAAAGCTGAAGTAGCCCAAGATTATGGCCAGAAGTCCCTGCAGTCAGCAGAAGAAGAGGGAGATGTGGAGTGGCAGCTCCATGCCACCGTGCTGGTGGCACAGGCACAAGGTAAAGATGTGGGCACAGGTTTTGCTCTCAGGGTGGAGAAGCTGGTCTGAAAACATCTCTAGGATTTAACAGCCAAAGTAACTGCTCAGATCAAGACTGCCTTGATTACTTCTTGCTGTTCTCCTGATCCTGGGCTAAACCAGCTGATATCCTTGTCTGTTCCAGTGAAATTGAAAGATTACCGGTCTGCAATCCTGAATTTTGAAAGGGCTCTGGAGAAGGCAAGGCTTGTGCCCAGTGAATCTGCTCAAAATGGCATCATTGCGGTAAGAGGGCTGCTGAGGGGAGGAGCTCTGGGCAGCCTCTGTGAGTAGCTGTTATCCCAGCTGGGATTCTCCAGCCGGTAATGCCAGGAAAATGCAGTTTTACAGTAGGAAAGGATTTGGTAATGATAGCAGACAGCAAAAGAAAACAGGAAAATGTTTGGTATGTAGCTGCATTTCTGGGGCTTTTGTTAAGAACTTCCTTCCTTTCAGGCCTTGGATAACGTGAGCAAAAGCTTCATTGCAGAACTGAACAAAGGCCACGAAGATGGAATGATTTCCTCACGTGAAGGTACTTGTTGTTCACACCTCTGCACCCAAAAATGGGAAAAAAACCCACTCTCCTCTTCTGCACGTCAGCAGCACCCTAGAATTCCCACAGCACCCATTTCCTTGCAAGTATTGAATTAAAATCTCGGTGGAGGTCCAGGATTGCTTCAGCTGCGCTCCCAGCTCCGGCCGTGCCCAGCTTAGGGACAGCAGCGCTCCCAGAGTGTCCCCTGCAGGCTGGCCCGGTGTCACCGACAGCCCGGCCCTGCCCCAACCCTCCTGGGCTTCGGGGAAGGTCCTGGCAGGGCGCTGTGCCCGCAGCTCCCCTCAGTGCAGCCAGGACCTGGAGGGCAGTGAGAGATTCCTGGTGAGGGTAAGGGAGCCCGGGGGCCTTTCTTGTGTCCAGCTGCTGAGTTCTAGGACTTGGCTTAAGTTTCCTTTTCCCTTCCCAGATCGCCTTTTCAGCAGTGAAAGCATAAAAACCACCACTGATAATGTGGAAGAGGAGGAGAAAGAGAATTGAGATAAAAAGCCATAAGAGGAAGCCAGAAACGATGCATAAGCAGACGGAAACGTTAAAGGGGAGAAACGGACAAGGAAGTAAAGGACAGCAGTGGGGAAAAGTAGAGCCTAGGCGGGAAGTTGAAATAAATATTGAGCAAGCGTCGTACCCAGCACTGGAGCGGTGTGTCCCTAGCAGGGAAGGAGCTGGTCCGAGCCTCCCCCGGCCCCGGGACTGTCCCGGCAGCATCCCCGGGGCCGGTTCCTCCGCGGCCGGGCGGGGCTGAGCCCCGGGGCCCCCCCGCCGCCCCGGGGAGGGTTCGGCCCGGCCCTCGGGGGCGGGCGAGTCCCGGGGCTATGAAAGGAGCCGCGGCCGCGCCCGCCCCAGAGCCGCTTCCCCGCCGCGCCGCTCCGCACCGGCGGCCGCCCCGGAGCCGCTGCCCTCACCATGGTAAGCAGGACCAGCGGGATGGGGACTAGGATCGGGACTAACGTCGGGGCTAGCATCAGGACTAGGCTCGGGACCGGACCGCAGCTCCTCCCGGCAAAGGTTCCGATTTCCCGGAGCGCCGGCGGCGTTGCCGACATGTGGGCGCTGGGTCTGCGGGTGCGCGGAGCCAACCGGGCACCGAGAACGGCCCCGGGGCCCGTGGCTCCGTCCGGGGGTCCCGGGACACTCTGGGGGCTGCCGGGGCACGGGCAGCTCGGGACCGGGAGCGATGGCTCCCTCCACGCCAGCCCCCGTTCCGTGGGGAGCGGGAGACAAGCGGGAGCTTTGTGGGGGCGGCGGGGGGGCCGGGCCCGGCTCAATGGGAGATTGTCCGGCCAGACCCCGCTGCCCCGGGCTCTGCGGAGCCTTTGTCCGCCCGGCCCGGCCCGTGAAGGCGCCCGTTGTCCCCGAGCCGGCGGCGAACAATGGTCCGGGGGGGGCCGCGATTGTTCCTTTGTTCACGGGGCTGAAAAGCGCCTCAGTCCCCTCGGCAGCTGCCGCGGCAGAACAGCGGCCCCGGTCCCCGCCCGCGGGACAGCCCGGCCCGGGGACAGCCCGGCGCGGGGACAGCCCGGCGCGGGGACAGCCCGGCGCGGGGACAGCCCGGCGCGGGGACAGCCCGGTGCGGGAACAGCCCGGTGCGGGGACAGCCCGGCCCGGGAACAGCCCGGCCCGGGGACAGCCCGGCGCGGGGACAGCCCGGCCCGCGGCTGCGAGAAGGAGCAGCGCTGCAGGTAACTCACCGGCTTCCTCCTGTGTGAGCACTTTGAGCCCCGAGTGTGCGGGGAAAGCAGCACGGGGGTCGCCGGGGAGCCCACAGGTCCCTGCTGCTCTCAGTTTGTCCCCGGCTGGGTGTGAGGCTGCAGCTGAGCCCAGGGCAGGCAGTGCCCGTGGGAAATGTGGGGTCCTGCTCCTGCTCCCAGAGCATTTGGGAGCAAAACCCATCTGCATCTTATGGAATAAAGAGATGAGGAAATCAACATCTGAAAAGTATTTTTTAAAAACTGCACAGTGGAAACATTTTTCTGGGCCAGGCAGAGCAGTTATGTTTTATGTAAAACTTCTCAATTTTTGCATTGAAGGCAAAACTCATTTCTTGGGCATCACTCCCACGGTCCAGTGGATCCCAGGCTGGGCTGGCCCACAGGCAGCTGGGGGATGGGAAGTTCATGTATTGACCCAACAATGTCTGAATCGATGCTATTGAGGACTTGCACAGCTGAAGAAATCCCACGTTTCCTTTCAGTCCCGTGTTTTCCCAGGTCCTACTGGGAATTAATCTGGGTTTCTGCTAACTGGAGCTGCTGGCAGGAGGGGAGGGACAGCCATGCCAGCTCCCAGAGGCATCTCCCGCTCGCTGTGCCAGCCACGAGTGTTTAATTTCCTCCAGCACTTGAGGTTTCACTTTCGAGTTCCGCCTTGCAGCTGCTGGGAGGGGTTTGGTTTTCCTGGAAGCCGTCTCAGTTGCTCTTCTGAAGAGGAGCCCAAATTCCCTCCTGTGAGGCGCTCAGCTGATCCAGACAGACAGCACCATCCTTGTGCTGCTCTAGGAAACAGCCTGGGAACAGAGTTTGTGATTCAGGTGAAGGGACAGGAGTGTGGCAGCTCTCAGCCTGCTGGGACTTTCAGTTCCCCTTGGGCTCCTCCAGGGCTCACTGCCCTCGCATCCGGCGGCCACAGGTGTTTGTTCAACTGCTCAGACTAAATGTGCCACATGAGGAGCTCTGCCCGGGCTGGGGCTTTGTGGCAGCCTGAAAAACCCCCTCCTAGTGGGGCAGGACTGCAGCTGCTGAGGCCAGAGCGGGGAGCAGGGCTGAACCTTCAGCCCTTGGGTGGGATGCAGTGGATTCCTGCTGTGCAACCAGGCTGTGGGAGAAGGTGTCAGCTGAGCAGGGCACCCAAGTGAGGCAGTGTGGGGGACATGCTCCCTGTGCCCATCCTTTCCACTAAAGGTCCCAGCAGGGCCACATTGTCTCTGGGGTTCCTGCCCTGCAAAGTGTTTTCTCCTTCCATTTCAGAACAGAGGTTTCTCCAAGAAGAGTCACCCTTTCCTGCCTAAAATATTTAGAAAAATGTCTACTCAATCAGCGAAAGAGAGACCCGAGAGTTTGCATTTCCCGTTCCTGGACGACGAAGACACCATCTCCACGCTGAAAGAATCCAAAACCTTTTTCATCCTCCGGGGCCTGCCTGGCAGTGGGAAGTCCACCCTCGCCCAGGCCATCCACGACCGCTACAAAGACGCCTGCAAGGTCATCTCCGTTGATCACTATAAAATTACACCATTAATAAGAAGCTCCATTCCCGAAGAGTACTCCAAGGTGGATGAGGATCTAGTTGACTATTGCAAACGGGAGATCAGCGTCATTGTTTTGGATGACACTCACCACGAGCGGGAGCGGCTGGACCAGCTCTTTGACATTGCTGACAAGTACCGCTACAAAGTCATCTTCGCCGAGCCCAAAACCCCGTGGCGCTTGGATTGTCCCCAGCTAAAGGACAAGAATCAATGGAAACTGTCTGTGGAAGAGCTGAAGAAGATGAAGCCAAGCTTAGAGAAGGAATTCCTCCCCATGTATTTTGGGTGGTTTTTGAGCAAAAGAAGTTCGGAGATCCTGAGGAAGGCTGGCCAGGCATTCTTGGATGAGCTTGGGAGTCTCAAAGCCTTCAAAAAGGAGAGTAAATACTGTATGTATTGATGTTCTCTTACCACATTCTTACCTGCTGATGTTAATGAGTCTGATTAGCTTCTAAAGTCAATTTCTAACACTGCCAACAAGGAAAAGCTTTTTAAAGCTACTAACCTGGTGTTCATAGTTGACGAAGTTGCTTTTATAAGTAAAAATAAATTAAAGAGCTTTTCCCAAGTCTGTTTAGGTCTGGCCCCACAGGGCACTGAGCTCAGGTGGCAGCAGCAGAACATGGGATCCTGGGTGTCCCCTGGTTCCAGGGGGTTGGGTGGGAAAAAAGGCAAAGGCAGAGAAATGGGAAAGGCTGAACAAACCACCAGGTTTAAGATGAGCCACGATGATGCACAGGAGCTTCTGTTTTTTGGCTCCATCTGCAGTGAGCCTGGGAGGAGGGAGGGGTTTGGTTTCCCACCCAGCAGTCAGAGAGATGAGATGTGAAGGCTGAGGTAGGGAAGGGAGCTGAGATGGGACCAGGGCTCATGGGCTGACCTCAGGGGGATCACTTTGTGACAGTGACATTGTTTACCTATATCTGCAGTTCCTTCTGCTATCGAAGATCCCAAAATAAAAATAGATCTCACCAGCTACTTTGTGAAGAGGCCACCTGGGGTCCTGCACTGCACCACGAAATACACTGAGTTTGGAAAAGCAGCTGGAGCCGAGGAATATGCGCAGCAGGAAGTGAGTATTGGGGTCCCACCTCCCCCACACCCCCGTGTCCCCTCCCTCCCCTTTGGGATGTCCGTGAGTCTGGGAGAGGGTTGGGAATAGCTTTGATCTGACCCAAGAGGCCAAATATAGGGATAGGAACTACATCCATGTGGCCTGTGCAGAGAAAACTCCAAACTGGATATGGTGATTTTATTTCCTATTTCCAAACAAAATACTCCCACTTTCCCCAATCAGACATGACTTCCAGCATCATCTCTGACAGCTTGACTGGACGATGATGAATTGAGGTATTTAGATCCCCAGATCAATTATTTCACAGCACATAAACCCAGGTTAAATATTGGAATTTGTGAAGGACAAAGACATTACCAGCTCCAGATCCACAGAGCTGGGACATCAGGCACCAACCTTCTCCTTGCTCTGGGTATTTTGCCCATGTCACAGCAAGAGCTGCCACGAGCAGCCACGCTGTCCCCAAGCCTGGGGACAGTGAATCCCCCCCCCACAGGCACTAACACTGTCCCGTGTGTGTGTCCCTCTCCTCCAGGCCGTGAAGTCTTCCTACGGCAAAGGCTTCACCCTCTCCATCTCGGCGCTGTTCATCACCACAAAGACTGTCGGGGCTCGCATCGAGCTGAGCGAGCAGCAGCTGCTGCTCTGGCCCGGGGATGCTGACAAGATCCTGCCCACGGACAACCTCCCGCGGGGCAGCCGGGCCCACATCACCCTGGGCTGCGCCAACGGCGTCGAAGCCGTGCAGACGGGGCTCGACCTGCTGGAGTTTGTGAAGCTGGAAAAGGCAGGGAACAAAGGGGAGCAAGTGGGGGAAATTGGAGGAGGGAAACTGCTGTATTTTGATAATGGTATGTGGATGCTTGTCCTGTCTAAAAAGATTGATGTGAGGGCGATATTCTCGGGGTACTACGGGAAGGGAAAACTCGTGCCCACGCAGAGCACCAACAAACGGGGCGCTGCCTTTAGCTCCTGCACCATCATCTAGGAGCACAGGCAGGGCAGCTCCTCGGTTTGTTTTTAAAAGGCAAGTAACTCCTGTAACCTTAAAAGTGTAAAGAGAAATAATTCTACCTTTACTAAAGCAACCCTCCTGCCCACCCCAGCGTGAAGCCTCTGGGGAGTTATCGGCCTCAGCAAAGGAGGAAAACAAGCAACTCCTGACTGAAACTGTCACGGATTTTGATGTGAGTTTTGGAGGGAACCTGCTGGGGCGTTCTGCTTGTTTTCTTCCTTGGAGAAAGATCAACTCTGGGGCTTTTTTTGCTTCCCTC